GCGCTCACGTCTCAAAATTCTTACTTAACAAATAAATTGTGACACTTAGAAAGCAGCGACCTGGATGCTTTTTTTAATTNAAGATGTTATATTTACTAGATTCGACATGGGTCAGGTCTATTTTGTAAACGCGATGCTTTGCTCTGATAGGCTGATTATTCGATTATACACGATACTTGCTAATGAAAAGAGCAAAGGTGTATGAAAGAAGAATGGAGGTTGAGCGTCATATTGTTTATAACAAAAGAAAAAAGAATAATTGCTCCTTTTTTCAGTTTTTCGCTCTGAAAATAAGCCTCTAATTGACATGAGGTATACTTATCGATATTGTTCCTGAGGAAATTTGCTAGGTACAAGGCTAGGCTTTTGCGAAAGATTGCGATTTTTTTACATTGCAAAATTAGCAGTGAAAAAAAAATGCATAATTTTCAGAATTAAATCGAAAGACTGAAATTAGATGAAACTACAGGAAATGATAACTGTTGGGGTGCTCAACAAATACCCGCAATCCGAACCCCCAACTTCAAAATGGCGGCCTATTGCAAAATTATAAAGTCGAAAACGCGAGCGCGTATATTATCTTCTGCCCAAGTCAAGATATCGAAATTCGGTAAAAAAGGATCGAAAGATAATTACATTATTTTGCGTCTGTGTAAATTTCAGATTTTTATTTATCAAATAGTGCTTAAAAAACATGAGTTTATAAAATAAGAGTCTCGATCCGACCAATAGAAGCTAAGATAATTTTTTTTTATAACGGTATTCTGGCTTATTTAATATCTTGTAATAAATTTAGGCAGGTTGTAAAGTAGAAGACTTCCTTTTTTTATCAATTCCTCCGAGAAATAACCAAATAAACGTTCGTTAAAGAGCGTGTGACCCGCGCGGCTGTTCGCGCAGCTGAGCGATAGCCAGGAGAGGGAAGCGCTGTGACGTCATAATGCCCATGCTGCGCTCACGTCTCAAAATTCTTACTTAACAAATAAATTGTGACACTTAGAAAGCAGCGACCTGGATGCTTTTTTTAATTCAACTTTTTTTCCGCTGTTTTGGATGGTGTAAGCAAATGTCTATGAAAGTCATCGCTAGACCCCGAAAAAAAAATATTTTTATTGATTTTTTACATTTTCTTTTGTAATTTCATTATACTTTTCGATATTTTGACAAGTAAGAAGGTGTTTTTACGTATTTATAAACAAAAGTCAATTATTTCTTTGAAAAAGGGATCGGTACTGTACTTGCCGTGCTCAAAAGTCGTCCTATAAAATATTGTCTTAAAATTAACTATTACAGTTATTGCGTAAATATGTCTAGAATATAATATTATTGAGTTACAATATCAAATACTGCATTTTATGGTATTTAAAAGAATTTTATTTAATGAATTGTCTTGCTAGAGAAAGTTGTCCTTTTTTAATTTTTATAACAATATTAAAAGTAAAATAAATATTTAATGTATAATATATTTTAGACTTCGATGAATTTTCAAGTTAATGGTTTACGTTGTAGAGTACGTGATTTGAATGTAAGAGACATGAAATTTTCCTCAAAGAAAATTCCCAAAAATTGGAAAGTAGCTTTTTTGCTATGAAGTGGTAATTCGTGCAATTGCTGAGGAATCTCCGTCGTCCAATTATGAAAGTTCTGTATATTAATGTAACCTGATAGATGAAAATGAACTTCTTCTGACATCACCAACCAATCAATGATATCCCGGTTTTCAATAAGTAATGCTTCGAAAAGCGTATTCCAAAATCAGAAGTTTTTGTACTATTTGAATTTTTGTTGTGATGGAAATGTAAGTCATTCAGAGTGCGGCGATAACTTCGGTTTGAAATATTGAGTGCTAATACTTGCCGTTTAGCAGATCGTTTAGGCGTTCGTAACACAGGTGCCATTATCCTCTCAACTTTTTCAAGTGGGCGTATGGAATATTTTTTTCCGTTTGGTTTTTCTCTGGCACATGAAAAGGTTCTGCGAAACTTGTTTACCCACTTGTTATTTGATTGGGAACTAGATCTCGTAGATTTAAATGAAAGTAATGACGAAATATGTAGACGCTGGGTGGTTACAGTAGAATTATTATTCTTAAAATAAATTTCAACCGCAAAGAAACGTTGAATATTTGACCAATGCTCCATATTCACAACTAATCGTAATCGCTTTGAAAACTGTTATAAACTTTCTGTTATCACGAAATTATGGCGACATGATTTGAATTTGTGTCTCACTATATCATGAAACAAACTAACTTTGAAAATGGATATTTCATTCTGTTTAACCCCGTACAAATATTCACAAGTTAGGAATAGGCCAACCTGATTTTTATTATTTTAATTATCAGGGGTACCTAATAAAGTATTATTTAATAAGATAAATTTGGCCCTCAAATATTTTTTCTAGGTGAACTACTGATACATTGTTCAAATACCCTCCCTTCGTCAGAGCTCAAAGTCAGTACCATAAACATAAAACAATTGCTATGCTCTGAAATAGGTAGGTAAAATCTAGTACAGAGCCTTCATACATGATTACAAGCCACGAGACCAGTAATTTTGTTTTATACAATAAATGAGGTTATGTAAATAACCAAAATTATAGAACATAGATTGCAAAAAATTCTCATACACTTGTAGAAACCATTTTACATCCATACACTGAAAGAAATGCGCTTTATTCTTTATTAGAATATATTATAAGACCATTATATACTATATGTGACAGTTAAACAGGTGAATATTGGATATAAAACGCGTACTGCTAGCACAGTTGTATAGTGACTATAAACCTTATTCTTTATTAAATTATTGTATAACTAGTATACAACCTTTTTTATACCCTTTACGAAATAATAGCAATAACTGTTATTAAAGTGTTCCATATCGTTATTAGAACATCTAGTACTGGTTATAAGTTTTATAATAATAAATGTAAACTTTTGTATACTCTGTATGAGTTAAAAACATGACATGTTTTCAGAAATTTTATTGTATAACTGTAATTACAAGCTAAGGTTCTAATGTAAACATAAAACATACATTTAAGTATTAAAAATGTTGACAAATCGCTCCCAGAACTGTCCAGTTTATTTTCTTTGCAACGATGCACCCGTATTTTCTTGTATTACATGAGAATTTACACTATAACTCTTCCACCTTAAGAATGAAGCATCCCCTGAAAGGTTGAGCTTCTTTCCATCTAATTCTATTTCCTCTGGTTGATTGACTTTATACCCATGCTCTTCTTTGTCACCGTTAACCTTCTGTTCCTCCATCTTATGTAAAACTTAACTGCAGCGGTTTCTAATGGGGCATACAAAATAACAATTTTTAAGATTTAGACAAGATTTACATTTGAAAAAAACAAAACAATTACAAGCCATAAAACAGTTAGATACTTACATAATTTTCCATTTCACACAACGCGATATGATCATGTATCCCACAAAACATGCACCTATACTAAATTTTCATCAAACTAGACGTGGAATAGTCGATACACAGCGGACTGTCGGAAATTTTATATTTTATAATTTTCACAACCGATTATGCACCGAGAGGTGACGATCACTTAACCATTATAAAACGCGTTTATGAAAACGAATAATTCTGTTAATACAATTGTTGTATACAAATTCGGATATTGGTCTTTATACAACAAATCTTCCCTACTATACAATTGGAACATAGAGTATATAACACATAATAATGTATAAGTAATTAATTATAACCTTTATTTTATAGATGCATAAGGTGTATTCAGCACCTTCCAGTTAAACTTATTGAATAATGAGTATGGAGATGATTGTTTTTTTTTACTAAAAGTTGTATATTTGTTATAAAAGTTTTAATATGCGCTATACACATTATTCTAGATAAACAGTTTAATAAGCCCATTTCTTTCAGTGTATATGATACACTGAAGTTAAAGTCCAAAATTTATTTCACTCCAACTACTTACTTCCCTTCAAAATCTTATGTCAACGAATACGCTAAGTTACTCCAGAAATGTTACAAAATGTGCGTTAACGCTTTTTACAAAACTTATATTTATGGAGGCAGGAGGTCATCAATTTAAACACGTAATTGGCTGACATGTAGTAATTTGCAAATAAAGTAAAAAGTATGTTTTTTATTAACAACCTGTATCTCCGAAACTAATAGGTGAAATTCAAAAAATAAAACACGGTTGTGTAGAGAATTATAATACCTTTCAAACGATGTGTCACTTAACCCTCCTTCCTTATTAAGATTTTTTTTGGGGTTGCCCCCCTCCCTAGGGGGTGTAGAGTATGTAACAAGACATGTATATGAAAAGATGTCTCTCTTCGATCAAAAATCGACCTGTCTCGGCGTTTTTCGTAAAAATAATTTTCCTTGGAATTATTCGCCTTGTTTCATTTTTGCTGGGACACTCTGTATACTGTCTTTGAATGTTAGATGCGGTGTCCCAATACAAACCCTTGTCGACAATGCCCCATGCGAGGGAAAAGCGATGCAATGGTAAAAGCTAAGTGCACTGTTACGTGCAATGCATTGTTACGGCCGTAACCTATGGCCGCCTACTTAAGCAGAGAACGCATTAGACAGTCGCGGTCCCGTCACATCGCGGTCCGTTCTGGGCTGAGCTAATCGCGTTCTTTTACAAAATCAGTGGCATTTAGCAATTGCATACAATCCTGCTCGCGCTCTCCTTTAAATAGTTGCGGTATTGTTTTAGTAGTTAAGAAAATGAGTTCTATGGAAGAGAAAGCTCGTCTCGATCACATCGTGGTCTCCCGCGATTCTTTGGAAAAGATCGGAGGAGAACGCGATGCGAGCGAGACGAGCTCGGGAACGTCTAGTGCGAATGCATACATTATAAATCATGGGAAGGAACTCCACCGCGTGCGATCGAGACTAGCACGGTCCGCGATGCGACGGGACCGCAACCGCCTAATGCGTTTTCTCCTTTAGAATTTCTATTTAAAACAATGACCGCATGTTTATTATTTTTTTAAGGTCAGAATGAACTAAAAGTTATTGATACTATTAACAAAGAAATGGACCGACTTCTGGCTGAGTTGAGAGAGGACTCTATAAGAATTCCAAATGAAGAATCGGTACACAGGTGGGAGGGGATAGCAGTACAGAAGCTTAAAGACTTTGATATTATGCTGATAGAGGCCTACAATAAAGATCCGCTTATTGTGGGTAACACCGGAGACAAAATATGGTCTATGTGGAATGCAGTTGTATACTGTGCAACGGTTTATACTACCATAGGTAAGTGTTTTATTTAATGACTGACGTTAGATAAATCTTTTATCGGAATTAATTAATTTATTAATTCCGATAATTAATTACCTTAGCTTGGAGACGAAAACATAACTTTGTGCACAAATATTAGCATTTCATTATTAGCATTATATTATTTTTTAAACAAGGATAATACATTATTAGATAAATTCCACAGGTTGACACATATCTGTCAGACACTGGCTCTACCAAGTGTGAATTATATGTTGGCAATAACAATGACTTCATAAAAATAAAAATAAAAATCTGTCGGTTTTATTGTACGTACTGAATAAAGAACGTCGTATCTTACTCAAGTTATTGCCACAACCAAGCTAAGGTGCGACATCGTTGCGACGAACTTTATGTATTAAGATACGTATATGTATATTTTAAAGAAATTGATTTCTGGCTGTGAGTATTGCGCATACGTCCATTATGCGTGCATTTATTACCGTATATCTCATAAGAGAATATACTGTCGCTGAGAAAGTAAAAGAAGTTAGTAAGTTAAGTACGTAATCACTTTATTATTTATTAAGACTAGAAATGCTTTTTGAGCCAAACAGCTTCATAAAGTCATCAGTATTCACACATTTTGAAATACTCATAAATTAATTTGAAAATGGTACCGACGCTCCATTTCCTTGATATCTTGAGAAAATCTTTCTCCATGCTCCCCCAAATCTTCTGGGAAATAATCTGCATGAGAATATAAAAGATGTAATTTGAGATTCATCAACCAGCCTAGGTTTTTAAAGCTTTCTACCAAATTCGACACTATTTCTTTATAGTTTGGACTCATTCATTTTAGTAATACCTCCTCCTGGAGGTACCTTGAGTGGCAGACACCTTAGGTGAACAAGATTTCTTCGATACGTCAAAGAAAATATAAGTAGGTACTCCGGCGATGCAAGAATAGAATAAAGATCACTACGAAAGATGCCTATAAAAATTTGTTTAATGTTGAACCCCAAAGTGAAGGATTTAATTGGGTTTAAGGAAACGAATCAGGTCAAACGAACACTGGAATCGGATTCAGTGACCCCAAAAATATATAGATACCACGGTCTTGTCTTTCGGACTTCCCACTTCTTTTTGTGGGGCTGTGTAATTGAAGCCTTGACATTCGTAAAATTTTACTTTAATAAACATTAAATAAATATACAATCTAAAAGAACCTAACAATGTATTAGATATTTGACAAGACATTTATTTGGAAGATCAGGGGTTAAAAATGGAATAAAAAATTACATACTACTTTGAAACACATTTTAAAAACTGTATTTATCTTCATCATCAGAATAGAAACTTAAATTAACTTTCAAATTTAGAAACAAATACTTATATTGTCTATATAGGTCGGTATACATATAGATAGTCATTTATATAATCAGATAATCATTTATTAACCGGCGCCTGCACCAAAAATTAAATTATTTATATTGCGCCATAAAAATCCCATTTATATTAAATATTTACTCATCGATTTTTTTATTTTGATTGTAGGATTTTTTCCAGTGCTGCATTTTAATAAATTTGTTACAAAAATATATACAATGTATATTCTCACATAATAAAATTAGCCAAGTAACTTATTACTATTAGCGACATTAGTTACTTTCATGGCATATTGGAAATTTAGTACACTTCTAGTGTTAATACGTTTTAAATATATCTATATCTAACGAAGTGTAGAAATGTAAATGCATTTTAAAATTGTCAAATCACATTTAAAAACAATATTTTTCATGTTGTAGGTAAATTATATAAATAGGTATCGTATATCGAGATATGTACAGTCCATACAATATTTGTTGAGACAGAATTCCAAGAACAGAATAAGCTGATAAAGTTCTGTTATCGGAACTACTGTAACAATTTCCCGCGGTAGGGGCGTGCCCTGAAATTTTCCGTCAATACCTCGGGTGTCGAATGCGGTTAATTCCAAGAAAGTAACGCAGGGGTCTTCTTGGAATTCTATCTCAACAAATATCGTACGGACTGTACATGGATCTACTTTATAATGCCAGTTTTTAAATACTTTCTTCCATAATTATATTTCACTTATGCCGGCTCCATCTGGATGTATGCAGTACAAACTAATATTACGAGATTATCGTAATCTTAAGCCATCTTGATGGAAAAAAAATTTACTTAATTCCAAGTTAAGATATGACTGATAATATGTTAATAGAGATATAGGTACTAAATAATTGTTTGTCTATCGACGATAGCAGCGATTTTTGTCTGTGTTAATGTAATTACCATTGCGCTTTGCATACCTGTCTGGGTCTACGTCCGTGTGACGTACACATTGCTTTAAGTTCCTATTGTCGCGGACCGGGATCGATCGCAAGTTATTGCAAATATACGAAGGTAAATATTAAAAAAATCGAGAACGCGAGACGATCAACAGCAGATGACAGCATTGACAGCGGAGAGAGAGTTGTCGAATTTTGGTTGTCACACCGCGTTATTTGCAATTAATTGGACAGAAAACGTAAAAGAAGAACGGGAATTAGTTGCAGATCGTGAACTGCATCGTGTGGAAATCGAGACTAATGACCAAGAGACTCTATCGCGCGATACCGGGTGTAAAAAACTAACTTGACCACGAGTCCTCTTGCAAACAAGTATTAAGACATTGTGTACTTACCTGAAATATACATCTTGTGGAGACTTGTGTCTTTTCCTGGGAGAAATCCTGTCAATTCTGTACTTATACCATCATCAGTGGTTCCTAATAGTAGTGGGTTTTGTCAAGAAACTAATAGTACGATAGTAATAGTTAGTGAGGAAAGACTTTTAATAGAGCTAGAGATTTGTAAGCAGTGCATGCATAGAACTATAGACGAAATAAACCGTAAGTCTTAAAGCAATAATCTCGTTAGGTAAAAGTTATATACAGGGTAATACTGTTTATCCGGATTCTAAGACAATCTCAATTGTGCAATATATTATGACCTCAAGGGAATACGTAGGCGCTTGTGCGCCCCGCCCAACGATGGATGTAGAGGAAGAGAGACTCCAGGAGTCTCTCACTTCTACAGAATCACTAGAAGGCGTCTTCAGTCAGTCGGATGGACAACCTGGAATCAATATTGACAGTTCTCGGCCAGATTTGACTAGAGAACGACCTCAACTGGAATTGAGGTTTTCAACTGACGGAGACTTAGTAGTAAACCCGGTTAGTAGCGCCGGAGGGTCCCCCGGCGCCTCAGCGACGATCAGGCGTGCACACGAAGTCGCGCAGGCGCGCGGGCGAGAACGCTATTCGCTTATTTTTCGTTGTGATACCTATATGACCTACCAGCGCTAACGTCTCCAAGATTCAAAGCAAATTCCATACTGGCTGTATGTATAACCACCTTTAAAGAAAACCACAACACCTTTTTTGTATATTACGTCACAGTTACAATTTCGCCATTAATCACCGTCTATATAGGTGGCATTGTGTTTGGAAAGCGTTGCATTCCTGAATCTTACAAATATTCATAAGTTTAAGGTAAATATAAAATTAAATTTGAAATCTGAAAGCGTATTTACAATACCATATATTTTAAATTATATCAAAGAGGAATCAATACATAAATATGTCGTTGTGAATTTATAAATAACGTGATATATTTAGTTTATTTTTTTCTATGAATTGAAAAAATATGAATCAGCTGCTCATTTTTACATTTTTCCTCATGCATGTTGCATTAAAACGAATTGATTTTATTAAAATATGTGTGAATATCTTAAAATTACCTTATCAATTGAGTCATAAGGAAGATTCATTCTTTTAAATCACATTTTAGTTTAAGTTTCGTTCTAACAATAATCTTAGCAGTGTTTATTAAGAAACCTTTATTCCTTGGAGATACCTATGACTTTATGGCCAAAACCAGTTTTTCTGCAATATTTGTTACTACCCTCTTATTGATGTTATTGTATTGTAATTTTTATTGCAATACTTTTGTTTTTTGTAACATTTTCAGCAGTAAAATTATATTTTATTGAATATGTCCCAAAAGCCACTAAAATTCACAACAAATCAATATTAAAGATCGCAAGCAATTAAATTTACCTTAAAAAGCCTTATTAGGGAGTTTCGTGGATTCTGAATAATATTCTAATAAATTTATTGAATCTCAAAATGGTGGATCCAACATGGCGCCCGTACGGATAAAAACATATATTATTAAGAAATAGATACTAGCGATCCCAGAATCATTCATTTCAACTTAACAGAGCTCACTGCGGGGTTCTTTACATCCGTAGTATTAATTTCTAGTATCAGCTTATCCATGAATTGCTAAAGTTTGCAGGAAGTAGTTATGATTGAACAACAACTAAATTTATGTAAATATGTAAGGCTTACTAAAGGGTTTTCGTGATTTCTGTGTGATATTACAGTCGAATTATCTGCGGTAAATTAGTTAATGACCCGATACCTGCATTTATTATCAAGAAGTATACAAATATTATATCAACTTGAAAATAAATTGTGTCTGTTTCAAATTAATTTCTCTATCATTAAAGATACTATTTACTAATAAGCAGCAAGTGTTTTAAACATTTTGGAAAAAAATTGAACAACAGAAAAAAGTTGCTTGCATATAACAGTACACACGATATTTTTGTATTTTATTCTTTAAATCACCATTCAATAACCTATATATGCGAACTTTATTTAACTTGTATATATCTAAAATAGAATATTATGGCAAACGTCTAACCTACTTTAAAAGAATTTTTGAAGTAAATATGCTATACGATTTTTTGTAAAATTTTTAGGCAAAAACAATTTTAAAGGAAAGATTTAAGGTAACTTTTTTTTTCATTGCACATTTTAATTAGAAACAATAAAAAATCTCATTTTAAAACTAGGCTTCAATTAAATACCTATGTACATGACAATTCAACATAAAACACTGAATTAGTCACGCGAAAAATCCCAGTAAATCTTTTTTGGCAAAATTTTATAATGGTCTAATCAA